AGGCGGTTAGTCGTCGGCTTCCCACCGCGGCGGCCAAGGTTCGAGTCTGGGTCAGGTCATGTGGCATTTGTGGTGGACAAAGTGGCACTGGAGAATGTTTTCTCCGATTACTTTGTTTCCCATGCCAATTCTCATTCCACCGACTGCTCCACACACATCTATCATCCAGAGCTGGTACAATAAGCCAGTTAGTGTGCCGAAGTACCAAGTGGACTCAGTCCCACCCCACCCCAAGAAACTAAAAAAAAACTACCAATTAAGTTTTAGCGTCACTAAGAAGTAAAAATTCTGATCTCGTGCGAACAAGTAAAACGTTCTTTAAGCAAGTACAAGCAAAAAAAAAAAAAGAAAGAAAGAAAGAAAGAAAGAAAGAAAGAAACACATTCAAAAACTGTATTTCGCTTAACTTCTTCAATTGCTTTCAGTACGATCCTGCTGCTGACCGTGTTCTCACAGTGTCTGCCTGAAGTGCCAATACCAATACCAAGTTATAAACGTAACCAGGGCTTTGTCATAATCTGGTTCCATCTCTTCAAGCTTTTTCCTGTGAGTAATTCATATTCAGATCTACACTAAGAGCGTGCTTATCCAATTCGCAAACGACAGGCAATGCCACTGAATAACAAAAGTCATACCTACTCTAATTTGGCCAATCACACAACGCACGTCTATCTGGGAGAATGGCTGTGAACATGAATCGGTTAAATAACCAATGAAAGTAAGTCCTTCAGAAGCTAATAGTTTCTCATTTATTAAGGAAATCTTTATGGAAGCCGAAGGTCAGTTACTATGTAAGATTTGATGTTTTCATGGCGGTGACTATGAAGAATGCTGTGTTCTGGACTGTGGCGCCGTGTAGACATAGTAAACATCGGTTTATACTATGTCTACACGGCGCCACATCCCAGAAGACGGCATTCTTCACGTCAGTTATCATGTTCACAAGAGCCCGCTACTGATCCCTAACCTGAGCCAGATAAATCCAGTCCACATTCGCCATTGCTATTTCTTTCACATCAATTTTAATAGCACCCTTCTATGTCTAGGTGTTCCTAGTGTTATTCATTTTTAAGAGTTTCCTTCCGAAATCCATTCTCCTCCCATGTGTGCTACATTCCCTGTCCATCTCGTACTCCTTCATCTGATTATTCTAATATTATTTAGCAAGGAATAACAGTCATAAAGCTTTTCGTTACGGAATTTTCTCAAGTGCTCTGTTACTTCATCCCTGTTAGATCCAAATGTTCTCCTTGCTACCCTCTTCCCAACTACCCTCAGTCCATGTATACCCCTTAATGTGGGAGACCAAATTTCAAACTCATACCTGTAAGACTGCGAGCAAAACTATGATCTTGTATAATTAAACTTCATGAAATTGAGTGCAGTAAAAAGGCAAAACATTTTGAAATAAATGGAAGCAAATATTTCCCGAATCTAATTAGCTTTAATTTATTCATGAATACAGTTCTGATTTAATAGCGTCTTCCCCAGACATTTGATCTTTACCGTATATTCAACGGATCTATTTACTCTCTCTATGTTATGAATTTGTCCTGCAGTCTGACGATGAGGCATTAACTACCTATACTTCGTTTTCTTTGTGTTTACTTCTAAAGGAACGTCTTTATTAGCGCTTATTAGAGCGTCTGTACTTTTCTTCGTGGCATCTACAATTATCCCCGAATAAATTAAGATCATCAACATAGATCAGCAGCTGATGTATCCCATTCAGTTTCGATTCTACCGAAATTTTCTGCACCTTCCTAATGGCACATTCAAAAGCAAATTTTATAAGCATGTTCTTGCTTCAGACTGTTCTGAAGTGGAAATGTAAAGTACAAATACATATCTACAGGGACTTTATTATATGATTCATTTAAACACATTTAATTTGCCTAATCTTTGCCATGGGTATGCAAGACTCAGTGAGAATTTTATATAAGACTATTCTCAAAGCCGCAATAGCTCGATCTGTATAGCGACGGGCTATGGCCTGGAAGGCTGGAGTTTGATTCTCGAAAGGGGCAAGAGATTTCTCTCTATCCACCGTGTCCAGACCTGCTCTGGGCTCCATACAGCCTCCTGTCCAATGAGTATCCGGGATTCTTTCCCTAGGGGTGAAGCTGACCACTCACTTCTATCTCGTGCCGAGGTCAAGAATAGTGAACCTACATCTCCACTCCCCCATATGTCTTCATGGCTTAGAGCTTAATTATTTAAGCATAGGAACAACTTTAACGTTCACCCTCCGAACTTAATCATATGCTTTCTTGAAGTCCGAATAACTACTGTACTGACTCACCGTACTCCAAACTTCTCTCCGGCATGTGACGAACGCAAGAAAAATGACTTGTAGTTGATCTTTTACGCCGAAAACAACACTAATTAACTCAGTTTCGTTCACGTATGGAGCTGCACCTTGAGACAATAACACTGGATAAACTTCTGTGTGAAGTTGATACTGATGATGTCGCAATAATTATCACCATTGTTGTAAATATGTAAAATAAGAGACTTCTTGCGCTGCTCAGGCAATTCCTTCTTATAAAGGTAAATACAAGCTTCGCCTTCGTCAGTCAGACCCACTCTCTTTTGATAAGACACGAAAAGTATAAAAAATGACGCCTTCAACAATTCTATTTTTGCGTGTATTCGTTGCCACGAGAAAGTGTTTGCCGATCCGTTGCCTAGTAACGATAGGGGAGATACACATGCAGACACACAGACTGATAACGGAGATTTATGAATTATACAGTTGAAATGGGCTCAGATGCCATGATTTGCATAACAGGTTTCATAGAGACTGGTTAAGGTATTCAAAAGTTGTTAGGGATGGATTCACAGACACACTGACACACATACACGGCCACATAAATACACAAACAAGCACACAGGATGGAAATCTTCTAAGTCTGCTTCAGGAAAATAGGCGAATAAAGCAATATCATTCCAACCGTGGGATTGCATTACTAAAAAAAAAACTGCTTCGTCGAAACTAGGGTGGCAAGACTAAGATCTTGTGGAAGAGTGGAGCTGCTTGTTCCTTCACTGCATATAAAATAATGTATTGTGGCATATTTGCTCAAGGCAAGACATATGAAGCCAGCAGAGACAGACGTTGCTAGGGAACGGCTCTGCAAACACACGTTGTTAGGCAGCAGATTTTTAACATGAGACAATGGAGTAGCTGGAAAGTGGTATTACCTTCGCAGCCCGTGAAATAGCTACGTGAAGCAACAACAGAAGAACTGTTTCGAGATATGTAGTCTATGCGGTCCGCGCCGAGGCTGTAAGACGAGGAGCAGCAGTGATTAAGAGAGAGTCTAGAGACAACAGAAGAGCAGGAAATAGTTGTGAAAAAGTCGATGGAAAGTAATGACGTGAACATGAAGCCGTTACCAGGCGACAACCGCTGAAGATACAGCAAACTGAGAAGACCTTATATGTGCTGTAGTTGAAGTTTGTAACTCAGTGAGACTGTCGTAGTTATTTGTAGTAACGTTCTGTAAGTGTGCCATAACTCCAATTACCATTCCAAACCCCTTCTAGAGTCACTCATTTATGTGACATTATATTTAGTTATGCGCTTAAAAATAAATTAGGCATAAAATATAAAAAAGTGTTAGACGCACCGCAATTGTCAGCTGCAAGATATAAAACAACTTTCGGAGGTTATTAGAGCCTTGTCTCCACAATTTTCTTTTATTTCTTGGCGTGTGTTTAGGCCTAAGAAATTTAAGAATTGCATATATATATAACCAAAAATCGTCTTTGCGATAACTGGATACAAATGGAAACCAGTTGATACATGAAACCCATGAGTGACAAAATCACAGTTGGCAATGGATTCCTACATCTACACAGAAACTGCCAGTATTACAATATTAAAAACTTTGAATTATGCTGAACGACCCGGTAAACAGAACAGCAGTGTGATTTTAATTTCCTTCGGCGGTGACTATGCAGCTTACTGTCTTCAGGGATGTAACACTGTCATCTGGTAAATATTTATCAGCGTTTCGGAGGTACATGTTTTCTTCATGCACGATATTCTACCCTGAAGATGAGACAGTACGGTCTCGAAATCTACGGTAAATATGTACTGGACTACATGGCGCCACATCCTAGAATACAGTCATCTTCAGATATATCAATATAAAATTTTAATTCATTCTGAAGTTAAATTAATTTCTTCTGCCCTAAACTTAAGAGATTAAGCGGCCGTTATATCTAATTATTATTGTTATCATTATTATTATTATTATTATAACCATTATTATAATCATCACACCATATTATATGTAGTTTCCTGCACATGATTCAGCAATAGACCTTGTCTCGAAGACTCATAATGTTAAGAGCTTCATAGAAAATCATATAATTGAATGTAATTGTCATGCCAGTATCTCTTCTTTGTTGTTGATAGTGTACTTTCCTTATTCTGGCAGAAATTAAAGTAGGCCTAAGAAATCGCCTTGCTTTCTGAGTGTCTGTGTGCCTATGCATGCATGTATATCCCGCCTATCAACATTTCAATGCCTAAACCAATTAATAAAAATTCTTATGATACTTGGTATGTATATATCATGGTACTTAGCTATCTCAACGGCGTCCTTTCATAAGTTCTTCCCGTCTGTCTGTGTAGCTGTATGTGTAACCCCGCGCATCGTTGCTAGGCAACGTTTGGGTACACATGTTCCCGTGGCAAAGAATACATGCAACAATAGAAGAATTATTCGAGGCGCCGTTTTCTGTGCGGTCCGCGTTTTATGAAAGGAAAGGAGGTGATTACTTCTTCAAAGAATTTCTTGTTATTATTATTATCATCAGTGAGTACCGGGGACCAAGCAACAGGAGCAAGAGGCTGACCACTCACCTCCATCCAGTGCACAGGTTAATAATGCGTGTACCCATATATTGACTCCTTCCATTTATGAGCAAAGATAGACATAACAAAGCGGGGTATGTTTGCAGGTGCTACTGACCATCATGATAATGTGGGGAGTGTGTGGCCTGCTCACTTTGTCTGGAACATTTCCAGTAGGTCATCCCGCCAGAACGGACGTCAAACTGCGGATCATACACGATTCGCCTTGGTTTCGCTTCCCCTATCCAGGTAAGTGGATACATTCGAAGATTTTGGAGTGGCAGGAGGGTGCAATACTCTTATTATCCAGACGCCTTGCTAGCTGCAAGAGGTGAGGAAGAAACAGCCCACAACACAGCAGCTGTACCCAAACTGCACCGCTGAAAGAGCAGCTGAAGTTCTCAGTCACAAAAGACAGTTCATCTATGGCAAGAACAATGAAAACGTAAGTAGCGGGAGCTAATACCCCTTGTTAGTGTCAATAGCTCAGTCGATACAGCTACAGGTTAAGAGGCCGCGCCATAGCTCAAGCGGTTAGTCGCTGGCTTCCCACCCCGGCGGACCGGATTCGATCCCGGGTCTGGTCAGATGGGATTTGTGGTGGACAAAGTGGCGCTGGGGCAGGTTTTCCCCGAGTACTTCAGTTTCCCCTGCCAATCTTCATTCCACCAAATTCTCCATCATCATAATCACCCGGGGCAGGNGTCAGGCTACAATAGGCCATCAGTGGCCGCCGTGCCGAGTGGACCCAGTTGGACTACACCCCCCACTAAGCGAATTAAAAAAATTGAGGTTAAGAGCTGGAAGGCCGAGGTTAGATTCCCGGCAGGGACAAGAGATTTGTTATTCTCCAGATAGTTCAGAACATCTCTAGGGTCCAATCAGCTCACATCCACTAGATACCTGGGACTCTTTTCTTCTAGCAAAAGGGCCAGGCGTGAAGCAGAACACTCAAACTCCATGCAGTGCCGACCTCAAGAATGATGGAGCTACACTTCCATTGCCACATACGTCTCACTGGCGTGGCGCTTAATTAGTTAGGCACATGGGCAATTTTACTTCTAATTTTCCAGTGGCCACTCCTAAAAATTATCACCTACCCTATGTCTGTAATTTTAAATTAACTACAGATACTCCTCGCTTTACCTTGACTCCTAATGCAACTATGCTCGGGGCAATTACCTGTTTCTTTACAATGGTTTGTGCAATTCTTACTGGTCATATGTAAAGTAAAGTAAAAAAGTAAAGCTATCCCTTTAACAGGCCATGAAGGCCCATAGAGTTTTGAGATTTTGAAGGTCCCACATTATCTAGACAATTGGCTCAAGGGTGGCGGTAAGGTTGTCAGCCTTACGCGCAGGCCGCGCTTTACTCCCTAGGAAATTTATTTAATTAATTCCTGGTACTCATTTCTGTTAGAGGCTGAGTCGACCCCAGCGCTATAGTGCGGCTGGAAGGATTAGGTCAATTGAAAAAATCCAATGACCTCATCGGGACTTGAACCCGCGACCTTCCGGCTTGTAGCATAGTGCCTCAACCAACTACGCTACCGCGTGCCCTCTTCTATAGATTCTGCAGTCAATAATTTCAGTACCACAGTGTACGAAATTATAAATATAACCACTCCTTACGTCACATCAAATAATTATGCTTGGTTTCCTGTCTTCAAAATATTTCATTGAGAAAAACTTTAGTAAGACACAAGAAATCAAAAGCTGAGTGCCACTATGGTGTTTTATTGTTACCGCTAATGATTAAAACTACCATTACAACAGACAGGCTTCGCTATTTAAAATCACTGCATAAAAACCTAAGAACCAAAACTATGGATTTCTGGAAATATGTTACTAAATTTAAAAAGAATGATTATTATGTTTCCCAAATTAAATTTGGAAAGATATAATAAAATGGCTGCAATTTATTGCTGAAGCATTTGCTGACAACTTTTTTCTATTTCTTAAATCTTCCTCTTTTGCCGATATTCCAAACAACGTTCATATTACTTCTTCGATTTTCTAAACGTTCTTTCAATGCCCGATTCTGACTTCAAGCAGGTGATTCGACGTCTCAATTTGTCGATAGTCGTCATTCCGAATGGAATTCGTAGTTTAATTTTAAAGGTTTCTCAGAGATTTTTACCCTTGTTTTGAGTTATATTTGCGCCTTAGCTTGTTATAGGGGAAGTTTCCCACTAATGGCGATTAATTGTATTCAAATTTTGAGTAATTTCTGCAACATTTTTAAAACTACAATACATGATCAGCTTTCCATTTATTTTAAGTTTAAATCGCATCTACTTAAGCATTGTTTTATTAAATCAAAATCTATCGTAAGCAATCTAAATTGTTAAACTCTTACAATTTCTATTGGTTAGCAAGTTGCAGATTGATTCCATTTATTTTGACCTCAGCGAAGCCTTTGATAAAGACACTCATACTCCATACTCTTCTACTCCGTTAACTTAATAATTCTTGGCTCTCAGAATGATAAGATATTTACTTCCGAAGTTACTTATCGCCCAGATTTTCCTTTGTTCGCATTCTGTTGAAGTTCTGTCCAGTCAGGAATGCGTCCTCTGCTGTTCAATAGCTTTACTAACAATATATATGCTAGAATTCATTTGCCGGTGTTCGACTGCTTTCTGAAGAACTAAAAATATTTTGTGCAGCGAAGTCTGCTGACTAACCGCTTGAGCTATGATCCGGCCTTACAAAAAGGTAACCTCAATCATTGCATCATCCATGTCAAAATCAAGGTGAATGTCAAAGTTAAAGTTAGTTTACGACTGACGGTTTACCGCCAATCAGTTCGTCTTGGTGTCAAGCTCCTTGAGACTCACGACCAGAGATCTTTTTTTTTTTTTCTTCAACTGAGCTCTTGCGATAATAGTCCTTATGTAACACCATCTCAGAAGAGAAGATGGGTTTGTCTCTTATGAATATGCTTGGCTTTTTGTCACGTGTACGTATCGCACCTATAGCATGTTACTGAAAATTCTTCCTTGTGCACTATATAGAAGTCCTATGTCAGTCCGGGCTTTGCAAAGCAGATCATGTATATTTTACGTATCTTATGCTACAACGGCACCTTAATCATTTGAACGGTCGTACGCTTGATCGCCGCCAAGTTTAAGCCTCTTATATTTTTGACAACCCTTGTTAAAGTCAAAGTCAAAGTTATGTTACGACGGCTCGGTAAATACATTCTTGCATATCGGACCATGCTATGCAACCCGGTGACGTCATCAACAATACAGACTGCGTTTTCCGTTGGGTCTGTGCAGAGTGCTTATAAGAGACTTGTATTCAGAAGTTGGTTCAGTAGTTGATAGAACAAAGACGAGAATGGAGCATGTGGTTTGTAGATTGTGAAGATTAGTTGAGTGCAGATTAGGACAAAGGACTACAGATTGATTGAAGACGAAATAACAAAACGACGTAGTAGTGATTTGAAGCTCTAGTTTCTGTGTTGAGATCCGGTGCTAGGAGACGATTAGTGAAGAAGGAAAATCCTAGTGCATGTGCAGTGGTGAACTGGGAAGTGTGTAGAATAGAGATAGCGTTATAATAGACTATTAATTAAATTAAGATAGATTGTAACCGAAGTGCTAATAAATCGAATCATCCGATCTGGAACCCGTTATTCTACTCATACGTAACTTCACACACGTAACTACATACACGTATTATCATGAATTAAAGCTGCTAAGACATATTCGTTTCATTACGTGTAAGTTTTCGTCCTTGATAATCTAAACGTTTTTCTTTTCATAATTCGGTCTGTGTGTGCCAGGTGAAATAAATTTACTTTGGCAGATTATAAAGAAATTAAAGCATACAGGAAACTTTGTCAGGTTCATGTTACAG